CTACTTTCATAAAAGGTGATGTCGTCGAGTATTTAACATGTAATTTACAGCAGGACCACTCATTTTTTTGGTAATTCCCCACTTCAATTATTGGGTAGTTGTGGGAAGTGAACCACCCATTCATGTGAGTCACTGACCCATGAGGTCACCCATCCGTATACACTACAATAAATGTATCATACAGTTCAACATGTTCGGCTATTTTAAATACATAAACTAACAATGGATATGGATTATACCATGGAATCTGCATAACTAGATTTTGTTTTTATATTGAACATCCCTATCTTGGAAATGTATAGTGTAGATCACCCTATCTGAATTATTTATTTTATTTTCGATTTAAAAATGTTCTGGTGTATCATAACGATAGAGCTTTCATCTTAACGAAGATCACGAAAAAAAAAACTTTATTCACAAATAACGTCATTGTATGTGCACGTGCAAGTGGTGTACGTTCATTCATAATATTAGAATAACATCGATTATGATAGACTGAACTGGACATATCATTAACCATAATTAGTGTATTATGATCAAAGCACACAAAGTTCAACTGCCATTTTATATGAGGCAACCTTTGACAGCGTGCAGCGGTTGCTGTTGGGGATTCATTACAGCGTTAAATTTGCTTACATTGGCACCACTGGGCATGTGAATTTTTTTTCTGGGTCCTCCAGTCTTTCCCTCCACATTTAGAAACACCTCTTTAGAGTATTTGACTGTGATACATGTCCACACGATAAGCCACTTTGTTGAGCTATCATTTGTGGCCAGGTCACTTTTCAACAAGAGATATATAGCTTAGTGGGCCTTACCTGGTAAAATAAAAAGTTCTAGTTTAGTTTATAGATAACCCAATATTAAAATGTTGTTGTCTTTGTATAAAAATGATTGGGCTTTTATTTTCTAATGCCCTTTTCTTTATTTGAATGCTTATAAAATTTATTAATTTGCCTTATTTATGTTTCTTTAACCTAAATTAATCAATATTTCATCGTTGGTTCATTTGGCCACTTTGAATCTGGCTAATCACATTTTAACTGTAGTTTACTGATAAATTCAAGTCACGTCCAAGCTACTTCCTACTCAAATGAGCATTGAGGCGGTGCTCATTTCAGATTCACAGCCCTGAGCCAGTGGTGGAAATGTTACATTCCTATAGTGACGATGAGTCTCTCCATAAGTCAATCGTTGACTTTCTAACAAAATCGTAGATTTTATCGACCATAGAAGGATAATGGGATCAGACCACCCCCAACTAGGATTGACCTTGCAACCTTCTGATTCCGAACCACTCGCTGTACGTCTGAACCACTGATAAATTTGGTTTCATACACGCCAAGGACCGTGGCTGCCTTCGAGTTCTCTGTGGATAAGGAATCTATTCATTGTTGAACATTGTGATGAATGTGTCTTCCATTAATGGCTGCTACAGGCATCACGTTAACCCATTGCACGCAACGTATACAAATTAAATTAATCGATTTTTATACACGTGATTTGATCCATGCATCATGAGCTTGCCAATCAATATTCATCCATGAGCTGTTATATCAATTCACCTCTGGTAAATAGTCGATGATAGTCTTTCACTGCCTAATTATGGCAAATGTCCAAACGTCCACCATTGCATATGCTATTTACTGTTATACATAATAAAATGGTCCTCATGTAATGCCAGCACTACCGATCTATTTGCTCAATACTGTATAGATTGTACTGTATTTGTCTTTATTTATCCATAAACAATGTGCCTCGGGAGCAGCGGTTGTGCAGTGGTTATCACATTTGCACAATGAACGCAGTGGCCGATTATTGTTGTTCGATTCTCGGGTATGCCTAACAATCAGTGGTGATTGATATCTGAGCCGATCCTGGCCCCTCATACCACTTCACCGACACACACTGACCAACGTGGTGAAGTATGGCCAAACAGCCATGTGCGCATGACAAAGGGCTGAACATTATTATGATCAACCAATGGACATTATGTTACATAAGGCTATATTCTTATAAAACAAACACTGGCACGGTGGGCTAAGAAAAAAGGTCACATAGTGCCTCAAGCTTGTTTCACACATATTTGAAAAATCCACATCACCGTGGCTTCTATTGTGCATTTTAAGACTGATGGATACCAATAAAAAACACATTACATATTTAAATTATCTATGCTCATCCAACATGGCGTATATATTGTATTTCACACTGTTTACATTGCAAGGTCAACTATGCATAAGGATGCATTCAAGGCAAAATGTCACGTTTTCAAAAGTTTAAAGAAGGTATAATTTGGTGGACGTGATTATTCAGTTTGTGCCATTTAACTGTTATAACCTCCACATGAATTATAAACATTATCTTAATCTTAACACTGTTTCAGACCGAGGAAATATACTTTTTACTGGGTAAGTGTTTCATCATTATGAAATATTGGAAATTGCTTGTTACATATCGGGCATTTAATGAATGTAATAAAGTTGAACTGGCTAATGAAAAGTGACACATCAATGCGTCTAAAGAGCTACGTACTATGACATATGGTTCATAAACATGGTCATTAACACTTTCAAAAAATGTAAACATTGAAAAGTGCATAAAGAAGAATGGAGAGGTGCTTGCTTGGGATTACACTGACAATCATAATGATGAACACGTGAATTGGTGAATGTATGGAGGTTAAAGGCGTAATCAACACCGTCAATAAAAGTAGGCTAGGGCAGGATACGTTGCTTGGAATGGATGATGACTGATGGTCAAGAATCATGGCAGAGTGGCAACCAAAGAATGGAATGCGTCGAAGAGGACATCCACTCAGAAGATAGAGCGATGAAATCATTTCAGGATCGTCAGAGATGGCAGGGATTTTGGCAGGCATTCATCCAGCAGTAGATCGACCATGGCTGCTGCTGATGATGAAGAATATATGTAATGTGACAGCATCAAAACAAGCTCTTATTCTCTGTGGTCTTGGCATTCACTTCGAAGAGGGCAAACCCATTAAGAACTTGCATTTGAGGTTTAGAAGCTTAAAAATGACATTAGAAATATATTTTGACCTTCACCAAATCTGTGTGATTCATTGCATGGTGTAATTGCCATAGGAAATGTTCCGTTAAGTTTTTTTCTGTTCATAAATAGTGCATTTGCATTTTGAGTAAATGTTGTGAAATTCAACACCCACTACATGGACTGCATATGGCATTGAAATTAATTGACAACGAAATACATGGGAATTTTACTTGCGGACTCATGATTGAAATGACGTACAAGGCGTATGATTTTTAAAAAACCTGTGCAACTGGAACAAACCAGCTTATATATTACAGTTGTTGCAATAGCCCAGTGTCAGAAAGGACAATGTCACAAACGATACGGCAGATAAATTGTTTTATGTCTATTTTGTATATTTTTTAAACTGTCATCCTGCTATGTCAGTTACGATAATCCTCTGACATTTGCTCGTAAAAAAGATCTGTGTCTGCCGCATTTTTCTGTTCTTTTGAAATGTATTTTACAAATACATATTGTACGTATAATTAAAACCATTTCCTTGAGCAAAATTAGTTTCAAGTGGTTGCACGATTGGATCCGATTATGGACCAGATCGATCACATTCGTTCATTCTTGACCCAAATCTGGTCTCAAGCTGAACTGATGCATATTTTCGCGTTTCGCTAGCCCACAAAAGATTATCCTGTTAATATCTGTACACATATTACAAATACTCCCTTGCTGACCCGCACTGCTATTGTGTGAGTGGTTAGGCACACCGCTGTTGAGGTACATAGCTGCTGGGTTTGATTCCCAAGTAGAGAATGAGTTTTTATTTATTTTCTTCAACAGTAAAAACAGCATATGATTTAATTTTACAATGAAGCATATAAAATATATAGATATTAAGGTAAATATGTAATAATTACAAAATAGGTTATTTTCTCTGCTGTTAATTAAAATACTATATTAAATAGACGACCCCCACTTGAGAATTGAGTCCAGCCCTTTGTAAACAAGAGGAGGGGTCTATCCTCCAACAAAATACGGCAGCACTCGTTGTCAGGAGCTAATTTGACCTCATCAAATGACCCTATAAGTTGATCGGCGTAATTAGTATATGGACACATACTCATTGGATCACATTCTGATGATTTAGGCATGGTAGGTCTCATCAGGGAATCCAATTCATTAATTTTATCAACAAATGTGTTTAATCCAATTCCATTTCGAACCAAGAATGCATTTTCTTGGTTCTTTCGGTAAAGTCACGTAGAAGGGAAATAATAAAATAAAACATAATAAAATAATTCTCACGACGTTTCGGCCACAACGCAAGCAGCGTCATTCAGACGCTGTCTCCCTGAAAAACCTGGTCTTCCCAAATTCTAAATGTATAAATTTCGACCGACCTGTTCTTTACCTGAGGACGGCTGCTTGCGTTGTGGCCGAAACGTCGTGAGAATTATTTTATTATGTTTTATTTTTATTATTTTATTATTCCCCTTCTACGTGACTTTACCGAAATAACCAAGAAGATGAATCCCTGCAGTCACGAAAGCTTTAAATCGAAACAAAAATGCATTTCTATTCGTTTCATAAGTTCCGTATATGTAAAGGGAAAGGTGTAGCATTTGTGATTGCTCGCTCATGCCACTGCTGAGGGAGGGGGACCTCCACAAGAGGGAGCTCTAGAGAGCCTCGTGAGGATATGTTGGCCTGCTCCTCCATGCTGACCAGATGTCTTGGAAGAACACGTGTATAGATTCACATAACATGTTTCATTCGTTTTCCATTGCTGTGTAGCATTATGGGTAATGAATGAATACATGAATTAATTATAAAACACCCATTCATATCTATAAATGAGACCCAATATATGTTTTTGAATATTCCATCAGCCTCTGGGTTTCCCAGAGCAGTATTATCTAGCAGCATATACATGTTGATACCGATCCAGAGATTGCTTGTTTAAATACTGCTGGATATAATGAGTCTGGAAAGCCCACAGGCTGATGGGAAAAAAAGTTCATCTTGATGTGGAGGCATAGAATGGAAGTCAACATTTATTTTTCTTTTCCTGAATTAGAAAGGGAATAAAGACAGGAATATAGAGCATATTTTTTTTTATTGGCTATACTAGGTGATCCACAATGCAATTTTAGCAAGAATTGTAAATGGAATACAAACATTTTGTATGTGGTTTACGGGTGGATGAATAAAACCAACAAGCGAAAGCAACGGATATAATATACGGTAAGGATTGTTGGCGCAGTGCTGCTGGAGTTTGTGTTAAAGTATTTAAGCTAACTTTAACAACTGTTTTTTAGAGGCCATGATTACCGACGTCTTTGAGAAATTACATGGCGCATAGAGGGGGATTAATCTATTACACCTGTCCTTGTAGAACTCACACCACTGACAAAGACGTGGGCTTCAAGATTATACAATTTTCATTGGCTGCTTTGAATCACTTAACTGCTTCACGAATTAAAGTTTTGTAGTCAACTTTTGAACAAAAAAATATAGCCCTAAGGTCAATAGGAAGGGAAAAGCTAAGTTTTCAAATACGATTGAAATAATTAGGTTGCTGAGCTGTCCCCTTTATTAATATATATTAAAAAATGTCATCAATGTAGTGAATAAATCAAGATACAGTACTTTGTAATGCTCTCAGTGCGTCACATGGTGTACATCAAAAAAATGTTGTACATTAAACAATATAGAACATGGTGTCAAAGAGGAAATCTGGCTCCATGTGGTTTGGAATACTAATTTCACGTCCAGCCATTTTACAACCAGACCTGGGCTATTTAAATGCAAATGAGTGTATAAACAACAGCATATGTAAACATTGCAAAGGATTATGAACAAAAGTGCGAGAAGAGGACAATGCAAAAATATTTAGATACAATTTCTGACAATGTGTTCAGCAAAATACAGGAGTGACATCTGTTTAATATTGAACTTCATGTTTGTGTAATTGTTATCCAAGCCAGTGCCATTAAAGTTAAGGTCGGCCTATATTGTTCACAATGAGGCCTCATTAAAATTATCATTCTATAAGCGCTTTAAAAACACAAGGCCCTCTTTCTGTACACTGAGCTCCAGAACAATTATAATTGTCTCGGCAGATGAGTAATCTTTGCACCTTCTTGAATTTATATATTGCAGGCAAGGTTAAATCCTTTGAACCTGTAGAATTACCCTCTTTATATTGTACTCCATAAAATTCCAAAAGTCTGAAAAATCACACACGCATGCAAGTTGACAAGCATAATCAAATCTTATGGATTTTATATCCCAGTCGGATTCCACCTTATAAATGCCATCTTTTTTTTTGCTTCAGTGGATGCCTGTAGACCCTTGAGACTATGAGGTGGAGGGGTTCGTATCTTCCTCCATTGCAATATGCCTTATAAAGAGATCTTGACCTGCATTTTCAATTTCCTACCAACAGTACAAGTGGCATATACTCCAACATTCATCACACCATACATTTCAGCATTTCCTGAACGTCAATTTAGCCTTCATCATAAAATTGTGTACCACACGAGAAATTCACAACTCACCGACCCTTGACAAACATCATGAGTTAAAGGAACATCCTGTACACAGTGTGTGATTGTATATATATGTATGCTTCTCTCCAAAAGGAAGTGTATCCTTTTACGGTACATAGTTTTTTGTCTCTTGCTTTTTGTTCCTTAAAAATTTCTCCTGCAGTCTATCGTACAATGCCTGCTGGGAGGAGTTGACAAACTGAGGTACATTTAACTCACATGTCTGCATTTTCATATTTCCCATACTGGAGATCTGATACTGAGGACATTTCTTCACAAAATCCACAACATCCCATCGGTTTTTAGTCGTCACATTGCTGTCTTCTCATTAAGTGCGCCGTTTTCTTCCCGCCAGCGTGACAATGACAGTTTTTACTAGAGCATCGTGTTGCTTCTGTTCTCCGCCACAGCATGTCCCTTCCTACCTGTAGGGCAGCATCTCGGGGCTGTAGTGCTGCGGAACTAGCGGAGGCATGACAGTAGCGATCCCCACGTGTTGATGAGGGAACCCGTGCTGCTGAGATGTAGAAGTTCCAAAGTCCAGGCCCTCTTGTCGCTGTGAGCCACCATGCACCTGAGGGTTCTGGGAGTGATGCTGGCCTTGCAAGTGCTTGGGTTGTGGTGGCAGCGGCAGAGGAGGCGGTGGGAGAGAAGGCTGCATCCGCTCCTGCAGCTCAAACTGCTGGTGCACGTCGCAGAACCGCACCGCCCTTTGCCGTGCCGGCACGGGTGGTGGCTCGGTGTAGCCGAACACGGTCGGAGGGTTTGGCGCCAATGGCAACTGAAATGACAGAAGTCGTGCCCTCACTTTATCGTCGCCCATATCTCACAGTGGACGACAAATTATATAACAAATGCGATGTGCCCGCTATGTTACAATTGTCTTGTGTCGCATCTTAAACCACTTATCAGTGCGTGTTAGGAAGACTCTAGGCTGATTAATGATCTGTGGCTATCACTTCTCTTGCCCTCGTGTGTTAAGGGAAATTAATAGGAACCATTGTTTCAGGACGAAATATCATTGAGAGATTTATTTTCTTGAAATGTAATTTGCACTTTGAGACATGCAGAACAAAAAAAATGTTAACGAGGCAATTTGAATGTGTTAAGAATGTGACATATTTTACATATTCAATCAATGGAATTAAAATTGCATGTGTTTCTGCTTTGCACAGCAAGTAAATTGTACATCTATTAAGTGTAGTGTATAGTGTAATTTTTGTAATCATTTTTTATTGTCTTTAAAGAAGGAGGGGAAAACAACAGATAAGGTATAACAAGCTTGGCACAACGCACTCTGAAAATTCGGGAACGAATGAGGGGCGTCCGGGCTCGCTGCCCCAACGTGGTGGGAGTAACAATCGTGAGCAGCGTGTATAAGGCGGAGGGGAAGGGAATGGGAGAAAGGGGAGGGGGTAGAAATAACGTAACTAAACGAAACCCAAAATAAAATTACATAAACGCGATGTCCAAGTTTGTCAGTCTTGTTATCTCACAGGAGCAACGGTTACCATGTGTGAAGGAGGGTGGTGTAGTATCTAGAGCCCACCCCCCTCTCCCTATTCCCTGGCCCCCAGTTTATTGGCTATTCGTGTTGGACTCGGCAAAAGCGGACAAGAACGGGGACCATATGCCCTCGTATTACCTCTCCTTCCCTTTAAACTTATGGCTCAGATGTTCCACCCCTGCCAGGTAGAAAAGAGTTCTATGCTACAGTCCCCAAGGGGGAGGTTCATGGGTTTTCCAGTTGGCCAGGATGGTTTTCCTTGCCACAATATAGAAGATTATAGAGCAGAGTGTGCTGCTGCATTTTGGTTCTTAGCACCTACAGAGTTGAGCCCACCAAAGGGCTCAACCCTGTGCCGCAGATACGGTTAAAGTAGTCTGTAACTTCATGGGGGAAAAAACCCCTAAGATATCAGGGTATATCCAGAAGGCATGGAGATATGTCTCCACCGTGCCCTGTGGACATCAAGGGCAGTTTGGGGAGGATTCGGTGAATTTGGCAGTCCTGTTGTTAGTCACGTAGGTGCCATGCATGCATTTAAACTGGGTGAGTTTCAGCGACAGTAACCTGGGGCCTGTAGCTGGGGCCCACCATATCTGGTTTCACTTCCGAAAAGGAATGTCTTGTCCCATAAGCCTTTCCCAACGCTTTCCAGTTTTGGGTCTTACCCGTCCCCCTGTCCATCGACCAAGTGGTACACCTCTGCCAGTTTGTATTTTTTATTTCCTTATCTGGAGCTTTGTTTACGGCATCCCTGATTTGAAGGGTATCTAAAAAAGTGTAACCGTGGGATATCGTATTGCACCTGAAATTATTAGAATGACGTCACCCCCCCTTCTTCCTTGGTTAGGTCACCCGCCCTTTCCAGGCAAGTCGCTTTCCAACTGGGCCAGCTAATCCCCGAACCTCCCATCTGCAATAAAGGGTTACCCCACAGCGGGAATCGCCTATGTATAGGGTGAGAAAAAATATTTGTTTATCCTTTTTCATATCCCCAAGGTGCGAGTGACCATCCATGAGGGCTTCATGCCTCAGGGCCCACCTTTAGTGTGTGAGAGGATGATCCCAGCAAGGGGTGTGAAGTGTATTTTAAATTTTCAGATCTTGTCGTAAAATAATCATGAGTACTTCGAATAATTCAGGAAATAATTAAGCAACCAGGAAAATTGTATAAATTATACGTTTGAAATACAGATCACGAATAAGCAAAACAATTAGATTGCATTTAATTTATGCATTATTTATGTAATGGGTTCAACTGAGTCGCAGACGTAGACTTTGGAGGCAACACATTTATTCAGTTCCAACACACGGGGTAACTTCCCCTTAACAGAATAACAACTGAAGGTGGTGACCACCCGGCTAACTACACTAGTTACTACGTACAGTGAGGGAAAAAAGTATTTGATCCCCTGCTAATTTTGTACGTTTGCCCACTGACAAAGAAATGATCAGTCTATATTTTTAATGGTAGGTTTATTTGAACAGTGACAGACAGAATAACAACAACAAAAATCCAGAAAAACGCATGTAAAAATGTTATAAGTTGATTGGCATTTTAATGAGGGAAATAAGTATTTGACCCCCTCTCAATCAGAAAGATTTGTGGCTCCCAGGTGTCTTTTATACAGGTAACGAGCTGGGATTAGGAGCATACTCTTAAAGGGAGTGCTCCTAATCTCAGCTTGTTACCTGTATAAAAGACACCTGTTCACAGAAGCAATCAATCAATCAATCAGATTCCAAACTCTCCACCATGGCCAAGACCAAAGAGCTCTCCAAGGATGTCAGGGACAAGATTGTAGACCTACACAAGGCTGAAATGGGCTACAAGACCATCGCCAAGCAGCTTGGTGAGAAGGTGACAACAGTTGGTGCGATTATTCGCAAATGGAAGAAACACAAAAGAACTGTCAATCTCCCTCAGCCTGGGGCTCCATGCAAGATATCACCTCGTGGAGTTGCAATGATCATGAGAACGGTGAGGAATCAGCCCAGAACTACACGGGAGGATCTTGTCAATGATCTCAAGGCAGCTGGGACCATAGTCACCAAGAAAACAGTTGGTAACACACTACGCCGTGAAGGACTGAAATCCTGCAGCGCCCGCAAGGTCCCCCTGCTCAATAAAGCACATATACATGCCCGTCTGAAGTTTGCCAATGAACATCTGAATGATTCAGAGGACAACTGGGTGAAAGTGTTGTGGTCAGATGAGACCAAAATGGAGCTCTTTGGCATCAACTCAACTCGCCGTGTTTGGAGGAGGAGGAATGCTGCCTATGACCCGAAGAACACCATCCCCACCGTAAAACATGGAGGTGGAAACATTATGCTTTGAGGGTGTTTTTCTGCTAAGGGGACAAGACAACTTCACCGCATCAAATGGACGATGGACGGGGCCATGTACCGTCAAATCTTGGGTGAGAACCTCCTTCCCTCAGCCAGGGAATTGAAAATGGGTCGTGGATGGGTATTCCAGCATGACATGACCCAAAACACATGGCCAAGGCAACAAAGGAGTGGCTCAAGAAGAAGCACATTAAGGTCCTGGAGTGGCCTAGCCAGTCTCCAGACCTTAATCCCATAGAAAATCTGTGGAGGGAGCTGAAGGTTCGAGTTGCCAAACGTCAGCCTCGAAACCTTAATGACTTGGAGAAGATCTGCAAAGAGGAGTGGGACAAAATCCCTCCTGAGATGTGTGCAAACCTGGTGGCCAACTACAAGAAACGTCTCACCTCTGTGATTGCCAACAAGGGTTTTGCCACCAAGTACTAAGTCATGTTTTGCAGAGGGGTCAAATACTTATTTCCCTCATCAAAATACAAATCAATTTATAACACTTTTGACATGCGTTTTTCTGGATTTTGTTGTTGTTATTCTGTCTCTCACTGTTCAAATAAACCTACCATTAAAATTATAGACTGATCATTTATTTGTCAGTGGGCAAACGTACAACATCAGCAGGGGATCAAATACTTTTTTCCCTCACTGTAACTGCTACTACGGACCAGGACCAACGACTTCGGCTCGGGTCCACGTGTTTGAGACTCATTGAACGGAGATCGTAGATGAAGGGTTTCTTCCAGGATGAACAACAACCCTGGTCCCTCTCGGGACCCGGCTTATATTATCTGTTACATGGCTGGCTCCGCCCTTGGCCACGTTCACCTTCGAGAATCCTCGGGAAGGATCTGGGTCCCAATCACGTGTCCCCCCTAGCCCCCTCTTGAAGCCCCTTTGTCAACTTAACTGGTCATGTGTCCTCCCGGGTCAACCAGAGTGCCATGGCCTCACACAACCCTATCCTTCGGTCGGCACCCACACACCCTGTCCTGTAGGGTCGGCACTGCACTAAAAGCGTGGTGCCATCCAGCGCTATTATTCAGCGCACACCGTGCCCCGCTAGGGACAGTACTACACCAAAACGATATCCCGCGATGTCGCTACACCGCACGCCATACTCCTCTAGAGCCTGTACTGCACCCACAGTATGGTGACATCCTGCGATGTCACTACATATATGATACATGAAGTAATTACAAATTGCATTTGACAGGGAAATACAGACTTGGCCAATCCATGAAACTGTGGGCGACTAGAATTTGGGAAAAATACCATCGCATTCCATACAATAGTTGCACATGATCGATAATTGTTACCTCGAGGCTAGCTGATGGATAATAAACGTTGCGAAGTGACATAATTTTATGCCATCTATATGTCGGTCTGTGCTAAGTGCACACCTAATAGAGGCACACATCACCTTAAGGACATCACAATGAAAATCCCCCGTAGGGTCAAAATGACCGGCTGATCCGTTGACACTGCAAAATGTCCGTGGTTACAATGGGGTGAACATATTTTGATTTTGCGTGGCTTAAAAACACTGTACAACCGTGCTCTAGATGAAGTGATCTCTATACAGAAACGACATGTGTACTTATTATGCGACCTTAAACAAAACAACTTGCACTTCAGCATCAATGAAATAAATTTAAACTAGGATTTGTTTTCCCCCTCCTCCCCATCTTTTTTGATCTCACTGCATGGAGCAGTTGCCACCGTTACGCACGAATGTAAAAGCAAATAAAGGGACATGCCCTACATCTTTCATGTTGGAAGATGTGAGCCAGAGGAACTTGTCACCGCTTATTTAAATTATTTGTAAGTTTTTTGTTGTTGCTGTTGTAGTATTAATGTTATCCAGAAAATGAGGCGTCTTTATCTGCTATATAAATAACTGCTGCCATGTAGATGATGAGCATGTAGGG